TTTCGCCTGGTTCCGCAAGGAAGTTAGAGAAAATAGAGGAGTCAAAGGTTATATGACGCCATAGACGGGCGACGAAACGGAAATAAAGCCTGCGTCCCAATTCGCATACTATCCGTCCTAAATAGTATTCGAAAATAGAATTAGTACGTCCCAAATCGTAGTATGTTGAAATGAGTGTTTCACAGATAGCCGGATGGTCTACTTTTTCCGGTCAGAATATGAAGTGTAGATCGATGCACACTCTAACGGCTGATATTGCCCACAAACCATTGCGCGTTGGACGAGGATTCGGTTAGAACTACAAACACGAGTAAAATGTGTTAAAAAAACCACAGACACGTAGTCGATACGGAGGACGCGCGAGTGCCCGCGGTTGTGTAGAGAGGTTTAGATAAAGTGCTTTGAGTGTTTAATTATCAGTATCTAACCTGACGAAAATTAATTTATTCAATATTGTCCACATTATATTGCATTTGCAGCAGCATTGTGAACTTTTGTAAAGACACGTTTAGCCATTACGTTTTAAATGCATCATTATATTCAAATTGCAAACACATGAGGAGAGCATGAAAGACCCGCAACTGGCAGATGAACGTGCTCTCCAAAACGGTAGGAAATAAAATTAGATAGAATGGAGGATTTTAACTGTGACAAGATGATTGACAGGGCAGTTTACGGTGACAGGATGCACGCAGCACGCGACAGAGCTGTCCGTTAAAGATGACGTGATAGTATGTCCCAAAGCTTGCCTACTCTTTTGCTACACACTCAAAAGTATGTACTTTTTCCTCACAAAAAGAGTACATACTTTTAGGGCGTAGTATAAGTAAGCGAATTGGGACGCAGCAAAAGAAACGTCTCGTGTCTTCGAATTAAACTATAAATTTCTCCGTATTTGAAAGTTGGTGAAAACTGTCGGGATAATGTAAGTACACATCTAATAGAAATATATAACATAGATACGTTTTTTTTTTGTGCTATTTTTAAAGCAGAAAAAATACATATTGTGGCTTTAAAAAATCCTATATCCTCTATTTATAAAATTATATGTATGTAGACAAAAATCTATAAACTAATGTGACTACAAAAAGTCAATTCTTCTTTCTGTCATTTCAACATTTCCGGAGTCAATGCTTTTTAAAATACAGGTACCATTAATATTTTGTGTTTCTGTTTTTTAGAGCTCCAAGAGTCTGAGTCACCCATGTCCATGAATCAGGCAGACCGTCCTACTGCGTTGTCTGAGCTGACTGATTCCTCTGCTGGTAGTCTACTGTACTGGGCATCCTGTGCCTGCAGCCTTACAGACATGGTTCAGGCACTGGCTCATGGAGCTGATGTCAACTGGGTCAATGGGGAAGACAGCAATCGTACTCCACTAATACAAGCCGTACAAGGGGTTGGTAATTGGGGACAAATGACAATACATAAAGATAATTTAGAGTCTAGACTAAAGGGATCTGTAGGCATGCATCCAGTAGTTCGGTTAGAGTACTGTTAAACACTTGAATGAACTTAAACTTCTACTGAATATATCTTTATATATTTGTGTGTCCAGGGTTCTATGATCACATGTGAGTTCCTACTTCAAAATGCTGCCAGTGTGGACCAGCAGGACACTCGTGGCAGAGGACCACTGCATCATGCCACCATACTGGGTCATACTGGGTAGTTATCTATAGCTATCTATCTATAACTTTTTAAAAGCTAAAAAAAAACATAATTATGATGCAAAATAGATAATGCAGTAAACTTGTGGACCATTTTCACACTCTTTTATTTAAAAAGTTAAATGACAAATATATACTTTACTGTTCAAACTTTGCAAATTTTGCAGTTTACTGCTTTCTAAAATAACTTTACTTGTGTCCTTCTTGAGACAAAACCAAGGCACTGCCATATGTCAGTGCAAGTTGCTTTCAGTTAAAACAGCTCAAACATGCATTTTAGTCTGGGACTAGCCTTAAGCCTTGTCTGTGATACCGGACACTAGAGTAATGGCTGGATTGCATTTGAGACTGCAGTGACAGCACATGGATACTGAAATGAGTCCCAGTAACATCACATTTTTTTACATTTTTAATGTGGATCTTGAAGTAGTGGTACTTTTTACATCTCTAATATAAATAAATAGATAAAAAAACAAAACTACTGTACAAATAAAAAACTATATGATCAATTAATTGAATCTATTGACTGCCCTAATTTTATCTTATTAAAATAACTTACAGTCTTTTCCTGTGTTGATGTGGTGTCAGTCAAGTATGTCTGTTCCTAAAACGAGGGGCCAAACAAAACACTGTGGATGCTGATAACAGAAGTCCGCTGTCCATTGCAGTGGAGGCCGCCAATGCAGATATTGTCACTCTGTACGTCTCACACCATAAACTGCTTTTTGCTTCTTTATCAAAGAATAAAAATAAATAAAATCAAATGTGTGATGGATCCTAACTTCAAATATTGTTTTTCTATCCTTCGACTCTAAGGTTACGTTTGGCCAAGATGAACGAGGAGATGAGAGAGTCTGAGGGAGCTCTTGGCCAGTCAGGTCAATACCCTCACCCTCAGAGTCACACCGAGCAACAGTATAAAAAATGCATTCAAGAATTTATAACTTTACAATTACAGGAGTCATAAACTTTCGCTCTTTAGATCTTCTGCAGACCACTGAACACTGGTTGCCACAGCTGATGTGGATAGGAATGTTACTATTGTAGACTGTACAAGCATCTTTTATTTTTCATCTTTTAGTCTTTGTAGCATCCAAGCCATATTTATTTATATTAAAATGTAGTAATGTATTACGTCGCGTCTCCAAGTCACCACGTTCAGCCAATCACAGATTGGCGTGTGTAAACACGTGCTATAGACAACGTAACATGCCCGTGCATCAACATGGCTTTGAGTTCCATTCAGAATGGAACCACTGAAATAAGTTCATATACACTCACTGGCCACTTTTTTAGGTACATCTTTCTAGTACCGGTTTATACCCCCTTTTGACTTGCCTTTTTGAACTGCCTTAATTCTTTGTGACATAAATTCAACAAGGTGCTGGAACAATTCTTTAGGATCCGTATTGTCATGATAGCGTCACACAGTTGCTGTAGATTTGTCAGCTCCACATCCATGATGCGAATCTCCCTTTCTACCACATCCCAAAGCTGCTTTATCAGATTGAGATCTGGAGACTGTGGAGGCCATTTGAGTTTAGTGAACTCATTGTCATGCTCAAGTAACCAGTTTTAGATAATTTAAGCTTTGTGGTCCATGGTTTTAAGTTGTTTAGGCCAAATTTGTACCCTAACATCTGAATGTCACAGCAGAAATTGAGACTCAGGCAACGTTTTTCCAATCCTCTATTGTCTAGTTTTGGTGAGCCTGTGTGAATTGTATCCTCATGTTCATGTTCTCAGCTGACAGGAATGACAGCGGTGTGTTTCTTCTGCTGCTGTTGCCCATCTCCTTCAAGCTTCAACGAGTTGTGCGTTCAGACATGCTCTTCCGCAGACCTCAGTTGTAGCAAGTGGTTATTTGAGTTACTGTTACCTTTCTGTCAGCTCAAATCAGTCTGGCCATTCACCTCTGATCTCATCAAGGCATTTTCACCCACAGAACTGCCTCTCACTGGATTTTTTATCCTTTTCTGCCCATTCTCTGTAAACCCTAAACAGGTTGTGTGTGAAAATCCCAGTAGATCAGCAGTTTCTGAAATACTCAGACCAGCCCGTCTGGCACCTACTACCATACTAAGTTCAAAGTCACTTTTCTTCCTCATTCTGATGCTCAGTTTGAACTTCAGCAAATCATATTGATCATGTCTACATGCCTAAATGAATTGAGTTTCTGCCATGTGATTGGCTGATTAGATATTTGTGTTAATGTGCAGTTCAACAGATGTACCTATGTGAGGCCAGTGAGTGAGGGCAGATTAAAACATTGAAGAATACCTTGTAAAAATCAAGCTATTGAAGGAAAAAATCAAGCTATTGTCTTTATATATGTTTATTTGAATATGATTTTGGTTCAGAACATAACAGTAGCTGTGAAGCATATATGAACATTACAGCTAAAACAGTGTGCATGTAAACATGGTAATTTATTCACTGTACACATTGGTTGAGTGCACTTTCATTTAGTTTATATACCTGTCATTTCTGTTCTGTTCCGAGTGTCTCCACTTGTATTATTATTCAATGGATTGGATTTAATATGAAATGACAATGTGTCTCATGTCTTGTGAATGCTGGTTTAAAAACTACCTCGTGCTAATACAAAATATGTTTTTTAAGATTTCAAGGAAAGACACTTTTATCACAATTTCAGAAAATTCTGATTTATGTGCAAGGTCTTTAAAGATAAGTTACTCTGCCAGCATCTGCTACTATCTGAAATTAAACTAACCAGCATCAAATCCCAGTTGTTTTTCATGTGTTGTCAAAATAATAATAATAATAATTGCATCTTTAATAATTATGGGCTCAGTCAGGAACTGATGCTTACCATCAGTTGTAGTTTTGTTATGGTGCATGTGCTTGAAAGATTATACATATCCATAGTTCCCTTTCGTAGTCACTCCGAGTTACGTCAGGAGTGACGGAGAATGGGGGTTTCGCCTAGAAAGCCAATCCTCTTCGAGTATTAAAAAACGAGCCAATGGCAAAGAAATGCCATGGATCTGCGGAATTTGCATAGCGTATCTCCGCCTCACCCCGTGAGTATAAAAGGAGGAAGCTGACGCCACCGCAGTATGTTTTCGCTTCGGAGCCAAGAGAACTTCTTCACTCCACAAGCCACACAATCTGAGTTTACTATTGTGACTCTTCGAGACGAGCAAACTCTCTGGTGTTGGTGTGACGGCGGTACCCAGCGAGTTTCACATTGCCTGCGATCTGAGCAGTGGTCTGCCAGTGTGTGTGTCTCTCCCTGGTCGCTTCAACATCCGCAGAGTTTTCTCCTCTCACTGAAAGAGTGTGCACGCGGCACGTCTTTTTAAAGACGCGTCTTTTTAAAGACGATTTGCCCGTATATTTCTGAGTGCGGTATTCTGAAAGAGTCAGCTGATGGGCGCGAGCGCTGTTTGACGTGTTTGGGCTTTGATCACGCTCAGACAGCGCTCGTGGGTGTGTCACGTTCTCTCAGTGGGGACGTGATCATCGCAATGTATACGGTTGAGACTCCATGAGCTCAATAGAGTGAGAGTCCCCTCATCCACTACCCAAACTATTTTCTCCACGTGAGATAATACTTCGGCTAGTGGCCAGGGTGACCAAAAGACGTCAGGTCTGGAACTAAACCGACGAAAATTCCTCGGTCCACACCCCGTCTTTCACGTTGCACGTCACGTCTTTCCACGTGGTCCAGAGTGAGTGGGCGGGGCCCGTCCGCGGGCCCGCTTTCTCATTCGGTCCCCCAGCTGATGAAATCATGTTTATCGCCGCATCACAAGGTGAGCTGGAGTCCTCTGGAGATAGCTCGTCTGTGCTGCTGTCCTCGGATGTGCTAGCATAGTGAGTTTGATTCAGGGTTCACAGCTATGCTTTTCCGGGCTGCCACGAGTGTCGGGTTTGTGTGGAAAATTCTGCCATGTCCCGAGCACTTAAGGCTGATGATTGTTTTTTGGGGGTGGCGAACCCAAATCCTTTCTTCCCGGATGTGCATGAAGAGGCTGTGAGATCGTGGAAGTCTCCTTTGACTTTTCACGATCACTCAGCGGCCTCTTCCGCCTTCCCTGCCCTCGTAGAGGCAGCAGTCTAGGGTACACTGGGGTTCCCCCCTATGGAGTGTTCTGTGGCAACACTTATGTGTCCCCACAGCGCCTCCACCTGGCGTGGCAACCCTAAGCACCCCTCCAATGCCTGTAGGTTCTTGTCTACTCCGGTGGCGGGGACCTGTAGAGCTGCGGGGCAGACTGCCACCTCACTGTATGTTATTGGCATCCTTATGGGTGTTCAGTGACATGCACGAGGATAGGGCTGATTCAGGGCCGGGCCGTGCCGTGGAGGTGGTCGCAGGGAGGCGCCCCTGCCCGTACCAGCCCTGCAGCCCCGCTGTACGCCAGGCTATGCGCCGCTCCCGTTACGGGCAGCTCAGATATGGCTTGCAGTTCTTTCAGGGAGTGGTTGCAGGCCCACTCCTTCCCCCGGTGGAGGGCTGGGGGAGAATCTTTTCTCCAAAGAGCTGCATTCCATCTCTGAACACCCCCGTGCCTCGCCACTCTCATCCTCCTCTGTCTCTGAGGGCGCGGATGACAGTGCGTGCCGTCTCCGGACCACACCACTCTCATCCCCCTCTATCGCCAGACCCCTGACAGAGCAGACCCCTGCGGAACGCTAGTCCTTCCCTGGTCTCCTCTGTCAGGGTGCGGAGCGTGACGCACACGCGCAGGGTCGCTATGCCACTTTTGCCTGTGCCAATCTCTCCGCCCCGCTGCCCCTCCAGGGGGACGCCTGTGGCTCGGATGATTCCATTGGATCAGTTTTGGGGGCTTGGTTGGAGCTCCCCAATCTGGCCTGTTGGGTCGCCCGAACTATCAGGCTCGGCTATGCGATTCAATTCGCACGGTCTCCTCCCCGCTTCAGGGGAGTCCGCTTTACGGTGGTCTGTGGCAATGCCCCGATCATGAGAGCGGAGGTTGCCACCCTGCTGGCGAAGGGTGCAGTCAAGGCCGTCCCTCCAACCGAGATGAAGTCAGGGTTTTACAGCCCCTACTTTATTGTCCCCAAGAAAACCGCTGGGTTACGATCGATTCTGGACTTGCGCGTTTTGAACCGCACCCTTCACCGGCTGCCGTTCAAGATGCTCACGGCCAAACGCATTTTCAAATGTGTGTGGCCCCAGGATTGGTTTGCAGCGATAGACCTGAAGGATGCCTACTTTCATGTCTCCATTTTACCTCGACACAGACCGTTTCTTCAGTTTACTTTCGAGGGGCAGGCATATCAGTACGCGGTTCTCCCATTCGGGTTGGCTCTGTCTCCTCACGTCTTTACGAAGATTGTCGAGGAAGCCCTTGTTCCCCTTCGCGAACAAGGGGTTCGCGTCCTGAACTATCTTGACGAATGACTGATCCTAGCACTCTCTCGAGATCAGGTCTGCGAACTCAGAGACCTTGTGCTCCGGCACCTAGCCCGTCTGGGCCTTCGGGTCAACTGGGAGAAGAGCAAACTTTGCCCCGTGCAGAGGATCTCTTTTCTCGGTATGGAGATAGATTCGGTCGCCATGTCCGCGCAGCTTACGAGCGAGCGCGCACACTCACTGCTGACTTGTCTTCGACAGTTCGAGGGCAAGAGTGCGGTTCCACTGAAACTTTTTCAGAGGCTCCTGGGGCATATGGCATCCGCAGCCGCGGCAACGCCACTAGGATTTCTTCATATGAGACCGTTTCAGCTGTGGCTTCGCGATCGAGTCCCGAGGTGGGCATGGCATCACGGTACGCTCAGAGTTCCAGTGACTCCGACCTGCCATCAGACCTTCACCCCGTGAAGGAACCTCAGCTTTCTACGGGCCGGTGTTCCCCTAGAACGAGTTTCCAGGCATGTTGTTGTCTCCACAGATGCCTCTGCCACGGGTTGGGGCGCCATGTGCAATGGGCATGCAGCCGCGGGCTCCTGGTCAGGCCCTCAGCGCCTCATGCATGTCAATTGCCTCGAGTTGCTGGCAGTACGCCTTGCCCTGCACCGCTTCCGTGCGTTGCTCAAGGGTCAACACGTACTAGTCCGTTCAGACAATACCGCGACTGTAGCGTACATCAACCACCAGGGGGGTCTACGCTCTCGCCGTATGTCGCAACTCGCACGCCACCTCATCTTATGGAGTCAGAAGCACCTGAGGTCCCTTCATGCTATCCACATTCCAGGAGTTCGGAACTGTGCAGCCGACAAGCTGTCACGGCTCCGTCCAATCTCTGGCGAATGGCGACTCCATCCCCAGTCGGTCCAGCTGATATGGGATCAGTTCGGGGACGCACAGATAGATCTGTTTGCCTCCCACGACTCATCCCATTGCGCCCTGTATTACTCTCTGACCGAGGGCACGCTCGGCGCAGACGCACTGGCGCACAGCTGGCCGCGGGGCCCACGCAAATATGCGTTTCCCCCAGTGAGCCTTCTTGCACGTACCCTGTGCAAGATCTAGGAGGACGAGGAGCAGGTCATTTTGGTCGCCCCATACTGGCCCACCAAGACCTGGTTCTCCGAACTGATACTCCTCGCGACAGCACCTCCTTGGCCAATTCCTCTGAGGAAGGACCTCCTTTCTCAGGGACGGGGCACCCTGTGGCACCCTTGACCCGATCTTGAAGACTACATGTGTGGCTCCTGGACGGGTCGAGGCAGGGTTAAGTACCCTACCACCTGCGGTGGCGGCTACTATCACTTCCGCTAGAGCGTCGTCCACGAGACACGTCTATGCGTTGAAGTGGAACCTCTTTGTCAATTGGCGTTCTTCTCGCCGAGAAGACCCCCGGAGATGCTCGATCAGTGTCGTACTTTCCTTCCTGCAAGATGGGTTGAGCGAAGGCTGTCTCCCTCCACCCTGAAGGTGTATGTGGCTGCCATTGCCGCATATCACGAAGCAGTTGAAGGTAAGTCTCTGGGGAAGCACGACCTGATCATCATGTTTCTGAGAGGAGCGAGGAGACTGAATCCTCCACGCCCTCCTCTCTTACCCTCTTGGGACCTCTCAGTGGTTTTAAGCGCCCTCCAGAGGCCTCCCTTTGAGCCTCTGCAATCAGTCGAGATTAAGTTCCTGTCGCTTAAGACAGCGCTCCACCGACTGGATAAGTGCGATTTTTCTCAGCTGAGTTCCTCCACCACTGTTGACGCTGACGCCAGTGTATTGCTTGGATGTCGGTTAGGTGCCTCCGTGTGCATGGTTCCTGCTAGTAGCCCCCACATGTGTATTTCCACTGTAAGACTCTCGAAGCATGTGTCTTCCCTCGGCAAGCCACCTTGCCACCCCTGGAGTTAAGATTCTAGCCACCCTACGGGTTGGTGACTCCAGTGTTCCTCCATACGAAGCCCCCTGGGCCGTATGTGTATCCCTAAGTCCTCCCCACGGGTAGGCGTACAGCGGAATATTTCCTCTGGGATATGCTCCCCAGTGTACCTTGGTATTCCTGTGTCAAGTAGGACTCCTCGTCAGTAAGTGCATCAGGGGTCAGACTTGCGCAGGGCACTGAAAGACAGCTGTGAAGGTGGCGTGATTACACGGGGGACCCCCATTCTCCGTCACTCCTGACGTAACTCGGAGTGACTACGAAAGGGAACGTCTCGGTTACGTATGTAACCCTCGTTCCCTGAGTAGGGAACGGAGACGTTACGTCTCCCTGCCACTTCCGCTGTACCACTGGGTAGACGCCTGAGTTTAGTCTCGGCTCCTCAGCGAAGACATACTGCGGTGGCGTCCGCTTCCTCCTTTTATACTCACGGGGTGAGGCGGAGATACGCTATGCAAATTCCGCAGACCCATGGCATTTCTTTGCCATTGGCTCGTTTTTTAATACTCGAAGAGGATTTGCTTTCTAGGCGAAACCCCCATTC